TGATGGTGTCCCGGTCATGTGATGGTGTCCCGGTCATGTTGTGATGGTGTCCCGGTCATGTTTTGATGGTGTCCCGGTCGTGTTGTGACGTTGTCCCGGTCATGTTTTGATGGTGTCCCGATCATGTGATGGTGGCGCGGTCATGTTGTGATGGTGTCCCGATCATGTTTTGATTGTGTCCCAGTCATGTTGTGACGGTGTCTCTGTCATGTTTTGATGGTGCCCTGGTCATTTTGTGATGGTGTCCAGGTTATGTGATGATGGTGTCCAAGGAAGAGATGGTCGATGTGTTGAAAACAGCAGTTGTTTCCAGATTTTTCTTTTTGTCCCGGTTTGTATCTTGCTATTGGGGTCTTCAGCTGGGCTAATTTTCCTTTTCGGGCAAGCGTTGGATGAATGACCGGATTGGATTTCGGCGGCGTGGCAGCGATCTCTCTGTTCAATTGGGACGGAGGGCATACATCCTTCGGTCCTCATGCTTTTATTTCTTGTCCGCACGTGGTCAGCTCCCCGCTGATTGAGCAGCATGACCAGCATCATGTTCGCACTTGAAGAATATTTCCCCAAAAGGTTTGCTGTTGGGGCTTGTCAATTCTTTCTTAAGATGTGTCCGTCCGCTCTGTACGCAATCCTTTGTCTCCCAGCTCTGGACGTCGCAAGCTCTAGTTTCGATTTGAAAAGCACAAACTGTTTGGGGTCTACGGGGGTGTAATTGTTCAATTGAAGCCAGTTAGGTGTTGAGAAACCGCAAAATTGGCACCTCAACCGGAAACTGGCACGATTTCTCAATGCCAGGAGCATCTGGCCCTCTAACAATGCTGAGGTCTTTCCTTCTTTCCCTGGTGTTCTGGCCACACTGCTGAGGTCTTTCGCTTAAGGTACATCTTTCCGGTCTTCCTGTCCTCAGCGGTCGAGCGGTCCGGGGAACGGTGGGAGGTTGGTAGCAGTTGGTACGCAGGTCCACACCGACACACGGCACCATCATCTTGGCAAAAAAAGGGTAAATAGAACATAGTATAACCACACTCCCCAAGTAAGCAGCAGTAAGCAGCTATGATTGAAAGAACTTGGGTGCTCTCCTTCAACTAGCCACTTGCAGATCAGAAGACATGCTGGTGACTTATGTGTTCAGCGGTGCTTTCTTCGAGCCTGATTCAACCTTGATGGTCCTGGCTCTGAAACTCTAAAAGCACCAAAGATATGGAAACGTTTGTTCCAAAGCCTTCACTCTGGGCCGAAAGACTCTGTAGGTTCCGATGTCTTTCTTCAAATGGTCCAGCAGCAAGCGGACCTTCCACGAGAAAAAACACTTTCGTCAAGATGTGATAAATGCACCACGTGAACGACGCATCAGGTTCCAATGATTCTCTGCATTGAAATCCACCCCTCAACCACACATATAAAGATGCACGTATATTCATATAATATATCATGTGTAATATAATTACATCCAGCAGACTGCAAGATCTGAAAGTAACACTATCAAAAACATAATTGCTCCCTGACTTCGCCCAAAACCAGCCGGGCCGACCTTCTCATCGAAGCCCTCAGGGGCGTACTGCCACTTCATGGGCACCATGGGATGACTCCGGTGGAACAAGTCCGGCCTCCACACCAACGGTCAAGGCATCAAATCATCACAACCGCTGGTTATCTACATGTTCATATCACATATCTCATCATATATCCAACATTATCCGACTCCGTACCACGACTGACCATATTGTTTTGCAGTTCCAGCCTGTTGAGTGATGTGTTGAAGCACCAAAGTCACTATAGTCACTAGGGATTGCTGACTGGGAAGAACGAAAACCTACGAAAACAGGTTGTAAATCCTACAAACGCCAGAAAACAATGTGTCGTACCAGGTGCCAGAAACGAACGGTTCGCGTGCCGCGCTGTTCTGACCACGATGGCATTTGGTCAGCCACATCTGTTCCGCTGACATCCGATGCATATTTGACAAAGCAAACTCAGCACAAACCCACCCTCACCCCCCCCACCCCCTCCATGCAAGCAAGTTCATGTCAACTTAAGTTCAGGAAGTCAATGTGATGAAGTCAATGAGTATGGGTGAACATGTGATGAAGGCAAAGACAAAGTAGCAACATTTGGCAACATGCCCAAAGCACTGGCACGTGGGCCAACTGACCAAATGCATGTGCGGGCTATTTCTTGCCATCTAAGGAACCCTGTGACATTGTTGGCAGGAAACCTCCCATTGAAAGAGCGGGCCTCTTACAGTACAAGGCGGATAGTTGTGAAGCACAAGTAATTCAAAGTTACATTCTGATCCAGCTTTACAAACTCCTATGGCCACCTTCTGCCACGAATCAGTGCCTTTGTCTTTTAATACAACATGTGGGAGAGCGTCACAAGTCTTGGCACGGTTGGAGAAGGGGAAATCGAAGCTTAGAGATAGTACTGCCGATGAACGAGTGTGTGTGTGTGTGTGCGACATCTAAGATCCTTCCACACTCTATAAATACTATATCCTCAAGCGTGGCTAATGCTATATATTATATATGGCTTGCCTCAAAATCCTGGGATACCCAATCTACTGTCTCTACCAACATCATCTGCTTGGTCCATTGCTTCTGGAATGCATCTTGTACATGTAACAATTCTCACGCAGCCAAGTCAGATCTGGCCAGCATTTTGGTACATGTGAAACAATGTAAAACCATACATCCCCTGGAATGATCATGGAACGGCACTGGCACTCCCCGTTTGTGGAATATGGTCCAAACGGTCACCATCCACGTCACCATGACTGCAGCCTCCCAAGGGGTCACCGGTCACACCGGTCCTCTCCGCCGTGCGCAGGGCGTGGGGCATCCACCGGTTGATCAGCATTCGTGTGGACCTGGAGTTGGCGTCCGTGTGGACCGTCCGCGGAGAGAGTTCGGTTTGTTGGAAAGGACTGCAAAACATGCAACGTCGAAAGGGTCGACACTTTGGGTGTCATATGAGACCTCCCAGTTCGACCCCCTGGAAGAAGGGAATTAGACCAAAACCCATTGGTGAGGTCTCCCTAATAAAAAACACATCCGTATGTTCGGGCACACCAAGAATCATAATTGAGGACCAATTCACCTACGTACCATACAATTACAATGGATCATCTACCCACTCTACCTTCCACATCGTGAAGATGGGTGACAACAAAAAACACCTCAGTAACGTCCATAACGACAGAACTAATCAACACCTATTGTATTCGAACGATCTTCCAAAACCTTTACGCCAAAAAGACACATCCGGCGAGGCACGACAACACTTGCATACTCAGCACGTCCACATCTTCTTTAGCAGCTGGGCCATGCTGCGCCATGCTGGGCCTCCGCACTTGCCTCCCTGGTTTGGCATGACACAGCCAACCAAAGCGGTCTGTCGGATGAACGGCTTCGGGAGGCACCGATGTGCAAGACTCCCTGTAGGGATAGGACAGCCATTGACACATTGAGGATGAGGATTCATTTACAAGTTGGTGCTCAACCCCCAAATATGGGGTTTAAAAGGGTTTGACCCACTCCCAAATGAGCAACCTTTCAAGATTCGTCAAACATTGCATGGCAACTGTACGCTTCAAATGTCAAATACAGCAAAGAACCACGATGCCAGAATGTGGGTAGAGATCTATGTTGACACGCACTTTGACAAACACATGTTATGCAGTGATGCCAAACAACTATGGTGCGCATGGTTGCACGATCAGTCAAATTTTGTCAATCTATATTGCATGTTGATGGACTAGACAAAAGAAAACAACCGTTGGCAGGATGTATCACGCAGCTGGTGCATCTTATGAATCAACCTCTCACTTGTTTTTGTTTATTTTATTTATTTTTTTTAAAAAATGGCGACGCTTGCAAACGCGCGCAAGGAACGCGCGCCTGCACGCGGGCGCCCTCGGTCCGCTGAGCTCGAAGGATCATGACTTTGATCCGCTCCAGAAACTTCCTCGACTTCGGCGATGTCGGTGGAGCCAAGTCGCTTGGAGGATTGATCAAGACGGGTATCCTTCATACTTAGAACATTGTGGACATCGGATCATGAGACGAAAACCAAGAAGGTGGGAAACATCTAGATGATTTGCTTGTAGTATGTCATCGATCTGGTGCTTTCATGCGTTTGTTGACGGGTTTTCGATGAGTCACTTCAGTCACTGCGAGTCCCGTAGAACTCGTGGAACTCACCCTAACTCACCGGTGAGTTCCTGTCACATGGCAGTGGGTCAACACCTGGAGCATCGAGCCCTCAAATACTTCCAGGGTTGACCTCCTCGGCAGTTGATTCTGTTCATTTTCAGTGGGACAAACCAGGCGGTCCTGCGGCTTTGACCCATCACATCCATTCACATCCCATTCCCAAGCAACACCTGCCGGACTCTCACGAAAGCCAAAGGCCAACTGGGGGACTCTCACGAGCGGGTGCCGGAGACCAGGTTGTCGACCTGTCGCGCGTCACCGTCCTTTCCACCGATCGGTGACAAGGATCGCTTTTTCGGTGACCACGGGATGGTGGGAGGAGGTCGGAGGTTTCTCTCACACATTTTTGGAGGGTTTCTATTTGTTCGCTTGTCCCAGTATGTCCCAGTAGGATAACGAACATGAGTTTAGGTGGAGGCTGTGTTGGTGTGGAATGTAGGTATTAATTGTTACTAATTGAAGCTTGGTCATAACTGGATCCAGCATGTTGCAAATCCATACCACCGACAAAGATTCTGTATCCGGTTTGCATCTGTTTGCATCCGATACCAACCGTCAAATGACAATTGGTGGTCGTTTTTGACCATGGCGGACCTTTGGATCTCACATCGCAACTCTCTCCTTCGATCTCACCTAGTCTTGCATGTTTGGGACGGGTCAATCTACAAGCTCTATAAGCAAAAGCAACATTATGCAAACACCACTGGTGGTGTCCTTTTGCAGGTTTCACCTCCGACTTTTCGAAGCCCCACGCACCTCATCATAGACCACATAGCGAATATTCGCCCACAAAGGGATGTGCTTCCTGAGGCATCAAACGAATGCCCAGTCCTGATGTCCCCCTCCGGCTGGCACATGTCGCCCGATACCCTCCACGGGCGTGCGGGCGTGGGGGAGGCACACCAGTCTGTCGGTCGCCACATGGTGGTGACACTGTTGACTTCAAACCGGTGATCGCAATTGACATCGCCCGTTCGGACCAAATAGGCCTAAGCAGACATGAAGACATGTGAACCAGACCCGTTCGAGAAGTGCGTCTCCAAGGAAGACCACCCAACTGTCTCCCCGTGAACGGTTGTGAGGAAAAACGGGTTTGGTGAACTGGCAAACTGTGGAATTTACCCTGAGGATTTCTGAGGATCCAATGGAATCAGTAGAAAGCAGCTTCCTGCGTATTGAACACATGCTTGGAGGCTCCTGTGTTCTCTCAACATCTGCTTGACATAGCTTGCCAAAACCATCCTAACACCATGTGTGATGTGAAAGAGGTGACCAATCGCTGCAGGAGCTCACAGCTTTGCAGCCAACCATCTTATGAAGGAACAAAAAAAGGTTTAAAAGGGTGTTGTCTGGTTTCGGAGTCACAGTACAAGGTGAAACAGCGATGGAGATGGATGGACAAACACCGTCACTTTCCAGACTCTTGCGCAATAAGCGAAGCCAAATCACTTGACATGACTCTTAGGGCATCTTCAATGACTCAACTTCACGGCGTTTCTGGATGTTTCTGGAAGCATCCAGATAAAAACAATATAAAAACAATGAGCTGCCAGAGGTTGGGAGGAATCCTCTCAGGGCCTTTTCCAAGAATCTGAAAGTTGTCGCTCATGTCGCACACTGCATCCACATGCGCCGAATTCATGATGGCATTCAGTTTCGCTGCGAGGTGGGCATTTCCCATCTGGCCATGCCCAGGCCATGTGAAAGATATATCGCCGTGAGGCAAAAGCAAGAGATCGTTGCTGGAACCGCATGTGGTACAGCTTGGGGGGTAGGAAGCTACTAGTAACAAGTGCCTTACTAGTAGTAACAATAAGAATTTAATTAGAATTGTAATTACTAGCAAAGGAATCTACTAGGTCATCGATTCGTGGCCTTTTTCCACCCAAATATACGCACACCGCTCCGCTGTAGACGGTTTTCTCGTCGTGTGGTTGACGAATCTGCATGAGCATCCACCACATAATGGTGTTCTTTTGCGGCGCGAGTTCCGTTTGGACACCCTGTCCGGCCCTGCCCGGCCCAATATGGTTTGGTGGCGGCCAAACACCGACCAGTGGAGACTCGGAATCAGTTCGATCGATGACGTGGTTTACAGTGGCTTCTATGTTGCGTCAACAGTGTCTGTGTGATACTGCGCTCCTGCTGACACGAATGAGAAAAAAGCTCTGACGATGTTGCTCTTCCACAGGCCTGGTGACACGATCGATACACTTGGTGAAGATCTGCAATGGATGCATGCTACTCCAAGAGAGGGAGAATATCCTTGGATCATTTAGAGATTCAAAGCGTCATGCTTTCCATTGGCGATGGAGCACAAGCTGTGCAAGTACATGCACAAAATCTGCAAGGCAGTGATCCTCTTCGTCTGTTTGAGCCAAAAGGGATCCTCTTCGGAACCGCGTCCGTCACAGCTTTCCCCCTGGGACCTGTGGGAGCTTCGATGCGTCCGCCACACCGGTTCGGGATGAACAGGAATGGAAGTGGCGAAGGAGGCGAAGCGTTCGTGAACGCGCCGGTGATGTTCGGACGGATGCCATAGTAGGCAATTCTGGGTTTTTGGCATGTCGCCTTCTTGCATCCTGCTTGAGAATGACACATATGGATCCTGTCGATTCTAGGCTCGGCCGAGGAAAACCAGGCTGTGTCTTTGGCGAGGCAAACCACACAGCCCTGGAGCGCTGGGGCCCTGGCCGGTGGAAGAAGTAGCCCATGAACTCCAGTGTGGACACCAGGACATCCCTTGGTGAGACTTACCACGAGACACAATCCGTATCAATCTGTCCAGCTCCCTTGTTCGGGTCCTCCTCAAACAAATCCTAGGCACCAGTAGCTCTGCACCAACTGAGTTGAGACAGGTTTCTTTCCTCTACCCAAAGGTTGAAGCCCAAGACACCTTGATACTCGGTGCAGAATTACTTCAGCAACGACACCTTGAAAGTACATTGCTACAATGCCACAACATTTAGCAGTTTGTGCAAGCCGTTCTTGACTCGGGCAGTGCTGTCCACATTTTGGTGGTGCCATCAAATTCTCCAGATTTTCCAGATGGAGACTTTCGAGTTCATCATAGTTCATGCAAGAGACAAGCAGAAAACCACTAGGTTTCAGAGGAAAATCATCTTCCACAGGTCCATTTTCAGGTTCCATGTGGGTCTCTTCCTGGGTGTATCTCAAACATTGTGGCTCAAACTATCGGACGACTAACGGTCTACCGAAAGCCTCACAGGACCTACCATTGACCAGTGGGTTTGGATCAGGACTTACCTCCCGGTCCATGGCCATGATCATCTTCCAAACCAAGCATTCCCACCAAACAGGGAATTGATTCCGCCGAGACACGGAGCATCCGGCCCCTTCGGGAAGGGCCTGAGGCATTGAAATTTGAAGACTCCAAACATGAGAGGGAGACAAGGTTGAACATCAATTTCTATTTTTTGGTGTCATTGCAAAAGTTTGTCTTACTTCAAATCACTTTGGTTGAGAGACAACTTGGACGTGCAAGGTGGCAAAACCCAAATACAAGGGTCTAAGATGGTCTAAGAATCCAGTGAATTCAACCGGGTCTACCCTGGGCCCTTGTGCCCATCTACAACACCATCCCGGTTTCCACCAGCAAACACTCGAGATCCGTTCGCAGGACACACCAGGACTCCAGGCCATTCTTCGCGCTGGCGTGTCAGGTTCTTGCCGACACCCGGTGGCCCACCTACCTGCGATCGGCACGTGTCAGGTTCTGCGCAGGTGTGTCTTTTTCAGAGAACACCCTCCAATTCTGATCACAGGGCTCTGTCTTTTTTTACACTCGCCCAATACTTTTCTGTACACGGCCTGTCTGAAAACCTGTTCATCTTTCCGCTCGATCCTGACTTGGTATCCTGGGAAGAACATGAGACATTGAACACATGCCAGCTTCACTGCGACGGCCACTTTCCAGTTCTTTTGTACTTGCTCTGGCATCCTTCTCCCTAGCCTCAACACGTCGCGGTGCGAGTGCGGCCGCTCGCCCGGTGCGCAGGTGAGCTAGCTCCAGGAAGTCGACATGGACAAGACTGCCAACTGAGAGAAAACAAACTCAAATAGGCTACGGCTACACGAAGCAGAACGGGATCCACGCATATGCATATGATGGTGGCTATAAGCTATGTATGCATGCATGCATGCATGCATGCATGTATGTATGTATGTATTCTCTTATACACCCCTTTGCGACACATTGACATGTGCCATCATCTATCAAACTAATTTGTAGGGAAGGCGGTCAGAGAGCGCACACACACTTGTAGAAGTGCGTACTGATGTGAATGCGGTGCCACACGCCAGCCTAAGTGAAAAACCTAAGAAGCCAGGGTGGGTATGTGTAAAGCAAGCCTCCATAAAACTGCAAGATCCAAGGTGAAGCGTCGATGCACTAGCCCTTTACAGCACTAGAAGATTACTGCAAAACACCGAAGTGGAACAGCTTGTCCATTAAGTAGGTCTCTCTCCAAGCAGGTACGTCAATCCGGCGTCCCGGATTGATTTCACAGGCCAGTGCAAGCGTCTTTGTTAGTGCCAGACTTGCACGGTCCCTGGCACCCCCTGCTAAAAAAAAAATCAGCACAATCCGATTGGATCCCTGTGACTTCAAGGGGCACACACACAACCACTTGGTACAGCCAATGTCACCTTTTGATACTTCGCCACGAGCCCTCATGAGCCATGAGCATTGCACACCCTCTTTGCAACGAAAAGCAGCGACAAAAGTGGACCAATCAAATCTGACCAGCATTGCACCGGCCACCAAACACCATACTTGACCCCCCTGGCCATTATACCAACATTATACCAAAGTGAGAGGTTCATGAAGCAGCAACGGATGGACCCGATGTGCCTCTACCCCAGAACCCCCATGCGACACCATGCAGAGGCCCCAGCTTTGCCCCCATGGATGTGATAGGACACTTCAAAGGATGCCACCCATACAAGAGGTGGAGAAATGTGGAGAACACCCGCCCAGTGCAAATCACCAAAACAGCAGCTGTTGGTGCAAGAAATCCCCAATTCCAGAAGCATCCAACAGGTCCTCCAGTCCAGGCTGGGGAGGACCTCACCCAGCTGGTCGTCATTTTTTCAGAAAACAGACACGGGGCGACACGGGGAGCCCGTGTCGCGCCGGAGCGCTGCGCATCGCTGCGCGCCCCTGAGCACCGGACTGCCTTGCAACCTCTGCGACCTGAGCGCATCGATGCGCAGGGTCCGGACCGACCGAAAGAAGTCGGCGCGTTTTCGATGACGGATCGGACCTGGACCATGGACTGACAGCACATGCGAGTGAGTCAACAGGAAAGAAGAGGAAATAAGTTACTTAACGATACTTAACATATACATACAATCGCATGCGGTGAAAAATGCAGTTCAGGAACTTCCCAGCATCCACCGTGAGTGTGCAGGAGTTTCTAACAATGATGAGCATCAATGCCCTTGTAAAGCTGGGAACAGCTCCAGAAATGCCTAGGATGCACTCCATTGCACTCTCCCAATGGGTACCGGTTATATATGGCTATACCAACAGTTTCCAAGAGCCCTTCTGTGAACAAGTCTTGCTTCATTGCCAGGGAGCACTCATCTCAACCCCCCCAAGAACCATCCAGCTTATCAAATCTTTTAGTCAGCTCCGCCTGCTCACAGAGCTCCCGGGTCGCCGTCAAAATCAAGGTGTCGGGCGCCTTGGCTGGGCGAAGTCCAAAGCCACCATGGCAATCCTGATTACTACCAGTTCCTACCTTCCAGGCATCTCGTGGACAGAACTTGCAGCATATCATACATATTCAGGAGTTGGTCAAACCAGTACTTACTGGTGAAGTCAAAACCCTGGCAGCTTTCACCCGTTTTCTGCTCCAAAAAACGGATCCCACATTGGTCCCAAAATACATCGATCCCCGCGGCCAAGACCGCGGGTTCAGAACCCGAGAGACAGCAGGTTCAGACCTCCCTGCATATACCTCCCGACTAAAAGGTAGCAGTCTGTTGCTGATAGACGACCATCCGGTATGGGCCTGGAGAAGAACGACCGATGCTGAAAAAAGAATCACTGTCCATGGGTTATTTCCTTGAAGCTTTGATTCACACATTTTCAGGTCATCCTGCAGAAGTAGCCAATTCCGCCTTGGCCTAATCTCCGAGACACGTCGCAGACCAAAAAGAAGGCAATTCATCCAACACGTGCAAAAACACGGTATGCCATTCCGAAAGGCAATCATCTTCATCTAGTTCGGCATCCACACGGTACTGGTACATTCGATCCCGTGAAATGTGCCGTACAAATGTGTCTGAGCCATAGGCACACGACTCCCTGTCCCACATGTATATTACTTGCATATTTAGATTATTTATGTATCTATCCCCTGAATTCCACTGACCTGTACTCACTTATGAGAGTAAGCGGCAGGTCGGAGCGTTGGCACGTGAGTGCTCCAGTAGATGGGATTTTCATGGATTTTCTACTGGATAGCTTTTTTGCGCCCCAAATCCACCACCACCCCCTCGATTTTGGTCGTGATTCTTTTCGATCATTTTTCATCATGTTCAATGATTCGATGGCTTTATTTTGGTATTTTGCTGATCTGCTTATCTGCTCTCCTTGGTCTTGTCATGTCTTGTCATAATACAAGGTTGTGTAGTGGGACCCGGCCAACTGCAACTTTCAGTCAAAATGAACTTCCAAATAACACCGCTCCCAGTAATTCTTGATTATTCTTGGATCCAACCTGAACAGCCTTCAAATTGAGGTGAAGAGCTGAGAATCAGTGAGCTTTTCGTTCAATGTGCTGCCTGAGTGTTTCTTCAATCCAGGGGGTGAGAGAAACTTTCCACCATGACCCATCCGCTCAAGGAACCTTGGGATCACAAACAGGCGGAGGATGTCGTCAATGAGTTGCTCAGTTCATTGCAATGAGGAACCTCTTTTCACTCGATATTGTTGTGAGGTTTTGCGCATTTCAGTCATTGCTGTGGCTGTAGCCACATTTTTGCTGTAACCACACTCTTGCCTAGTTTTCGATACAACGCCTCATTCAGGGAGGCCGAAACTTCAAGTGGAATATTCAAATCATCTGCCGACACGTTTGTGTCAAACCTCCGGACACTATTGTCTCAGACCTGGCATGGCACTTAGCTCCTGGCACAACTGGCCCACTTCTGCTTCATTGTCAGGACCTTCCTGACCGTCACATGTCTTCCAATCCTTCGCCAAAGCCCAAACACACAAAGGAACTCCACACGGTCCTTTCATCCTGCAACATTTCACGTGGCTTTGGAATAGCTTTGACCTTAAAGGCACCAGGCTTCGGGCCCTTCGGGACTCCCTTCGGGTCTTGAAGATGTGTGTGTGGCAAAGTTTGGCGCGGAGCATTAGACTCATCCACAGTACCCGGCCAGGGGCGAGGTCTTAAGTGTCTTCTTCTTGGCAAAGCCGGAGGAACAACAGGATGGGTCAGAACTTCGGAGATGCTGCAGGTGAAGCTGCTCTGAGGGAAGATGTGTAAGTTCAATGTATCCAAAGAACTGGTGAACATCTGGTCAACAAGCTTGCCTAAGCTTCACCTTCCTTGCTTTTGCAAACAAGGGCTTTGCAACACCAGGAAACACAAACCTATTGTCAGAACACAACCCGTGAAACCTTCTTGGGCCCTGTGAATCCTGCACAATCTAGGATTTGGGTTCCTCATACTTCGAAGATGGTCAATCAGGTTCATCACCCCTAAGAGTTGACCAATCACTTGAATTCCTCCCCAATCTCAATCTCCATATATCTCCATCAAACCGAAGGGGCGACTTTTTCTGAACATCCAGAACTGACAGGTGCGACGAAAGTAGGGAATGGATCTAAAGAATTTCTATGACTCTATTGGAGCTGATTCCCTCATTTCCTACGACTTTGTCGCACCAGTTGGTTTGGACCGCTTTTGCGCACTGCGCTGCACCCCACTGGCGACTTCGTCCACTTCGTCTTCGCGAAAAGATCTCAGCGCCATACCCCAGGAAGCCCATCCCATCTCACGCCCACGTAGGGCAACAACCGCTCGATGGTACCTTTCTCTCCACTCCTTGGTGATACAAATGTGTGGCACATGAAGGCCTCGTTGACCCCCTTTAGCGTAAACAATGTACTTTCACCATTTGTGTATGTACCCGGACAATATGGCCATGTACATTAGCAGAGGTGTATTATATAGTAGACTTCCTGTGTTTTCCTATGCTTCCTGTGTTTGCACACAAACACTCTTAGTCGATCCGTGGGACGGGAAGACCCGCTGGGACGCTGGTGAGTCGAAAAGAAAAGCTGCCACAATCCCTGTGGCTTGTTGGTTGCGGATGCTCCAAGCAAGCCTTATATTCTTAAGGCATGCAAACAGATAGAGCTCCAGCTGTTCCCTGTTGCATGTTGAAAGAAAAAGCGCTTCACATTCCCGAAAAGCAATCTCAGAGATTTGAGGTCTCACCCTGTCGAACATCTTGGTACATCTTGGCACTATTCAACAGACTTCAGATGGTCAAGGAAGTACCTTCAATGGCGGGCTTATTGCAACATGTCAAGAGTGCCGGGGTCGGTGTCCCCTTGCGAACACCTATAGACATCGGAAATTGAAGAACTTTTCAACAAACTTGGCCAACTGAAGGTGTACCGCCCACGAGATTTCACAACCTTCCAAAGGATTGTTGATGCCGTTTTCCGTGTGTTCAGATATACTAACTGCTATGAAGCACTCTCTTGCTTGGCCTGGACAGTTCTCCTGCGTTTCCCGGCCGAACCACGTCACCAGAGCCATAGACGATCTCTTCCTTCGCCTTCAGAAGTGAGCAAAAACATCGCGTGCCTTCTGCACCGCCCCACTGCACCGCCGACGCTTTTCCAACGGCCACGCAGAAGCCGAACGCTTCGCCTCACGGCCCCCTGCCTCCACGCGCTGACCTTTGCTGTACTGCACGGCCGTGAGGCCGAACCTGGATCAGCTGGATCCGGTGGGATACCGACACCTGGTGTTTTCAAACTCTACTGGTTTCTTATGGGTTTCCAAAGGGTTCTCAGCCAGTTGGAATGATGAACATGAATGAACCAGTTCTTCATGATCTTCGAGTGCTGTCTTGCACCGTCATCAGTGCCGTCTTCTTCAGTTCTTTGGTGGCACCTTCACTGAGCATCTCTTGTCTACTACCTTTACCGCCTTTACCCTGCAATCTCACTGTTGAGCAAAACCAAGCAAAGCCTCAAGCGAAACTCTCCCTTGTTGGATCTTCCTAGTGATTGCGTCAGCATGAGAAGCAGATCTCAATGGTGGACCGAGTGACCGATGGACCGATGACACATCTTTTGTCTCTCTTCGACGTGATTCATACAGAAACTTCTTGTCAAACCCAGTTGAACATGAACATCAACATGAAGAAAGAACCTTCCCTTCATGTTACAGAAACCATACATTCATACAGAAAATGATGTCCAAAAAGATCACCAATGCGCGCCATTGAACGTTCCTGGCAAATCGGTGACATTCGGTGACACCAATCCGCTGAAGCGCAAGTCCATGAGGGGCGAGACGAAATCGTGTCGTTCGTTTGAGACTACTAGTAGCGTCTTTGCTCCTAGAAGCGATGCCCTTTGCTCCTAGTAGCTTCTTGCTCCTAGTAGCGATGGCCTCCAACCTATTAGCGATGGCTTCCACCTAGTAGCTTCTACTAGTAGCTTCTTGTTACTAGTTCCCTTTTTGGAACCACCCATCTCCGCCATCCTCGCAATCAGTAGCAATTTTTATTTGATCGTTTTAGTCCTTCGATTTCGCTTCGGCCTCTGGCGCAGGTCGCCACGATTCCAGGGGTACCAGCCCCGGCCATCCGCCAGCTCGATCTTGGAACGATTTCAGCGAGGATCACTGATACACATTTTTGTTGATTTGGCACCAATTTTCTGAGGCATGACTTGAGTCTTCTTGGCTGGATGATGCACCTGACTAAGTACACATCACCAAAGTCAAGGTGGCTATTGATGGATCATGCTCAAGCCACAAAGGCAGCAGCAGCCGGGCTCTCCAGCGAACTGTATGTCCAATGGTGAACCTGCACTGCTCCTGTGACAATGGAACGAAGAATAGTGAGCTAGCCAGGCGAATGCTAAAACACGACCGTAGATTCACAATGGTATTAGATGGTATCAGCAGCTGATTGTGAAACTATAGATTTAACCGTGGTTTATGGTTCAATTTACTAAGCACTCATTGATGCAGCCTTGAGATATGCACGCGACGTTGCCGTGTGGTCCTGCTCATAAACTCATCCCCACTGCGCACACGCCTCGAAATGTCAGCGTCGAACGGTCGAACGGTCGACACATACATCGACGGTCGCCCCAAAGGCTTAAATCGATCCTGCCAAGCGTAGCCGGTCCCAACATGTGCTTTCAGGTCAAAGGAAAGAAACCTAACGGGCTTTGACGTGCTCGCGCCCATGGAGCATCTAAATGGAACCTGGACTTGACACTCTGAAAAAGACCGCTGGCAGCTTGTCACGTGGATACCAAAAAGAGCGGTAGATACAAAACTTTTCACGCCACTTCTCCTGCATACGGGTTCACTGGAGTTGGACTGTACGATTAGAGCAAAGTGGCCGTCTTGGATGATGAAGAAACTTGGAGTGTTTTGGCGCAGATAGTATTTTAAAAGAAAACTTTGACATCCCAAACTGTTTCAAACATACTTCCATACTCAGTCTTTCGGCGTTTTTCGCATGCATTGATGCATTATGATGCATTCATTTCCGCCTTTCCCAGTGGGGGTTCCGCCGCCCAAAGGAACATGCTCCGATCTGAAGGACTTTTTCTCCGATCGCGTCGAGTTCGACGAAACCTCCGATCGCGTTTACAGCTCTAACCCTGTGGGAACCCTATCGACGTCCATCCCCGGCTTGGCGACACCTCCGAAAAAAAACTTTCTGTGTTTGCCGAGCGGTTCCGAACACAAAGCACCCCGTTGGTTTTGTGGTGCGAACCGTTGGAAAAGGGGTTCGCTAGATTCAGTGACGCCGTCCGAACAAGATCTCCTGAAGCAAACATGCCTCTTCAACCGTTTCTCGAATTGACGACACCTCCTCATTTTCTTTCATTGATTCAAAGGATCACGGGAGACACTAGAAAATACTAGAAACTGGCCTAGGTGCTTGTGCTGAGATCTGACATCATTAAATTTTACATTATATAAGATTTCTGGACTACCCACCACATTGTTCACCCAACCTTTAGCATACCATCACCTCACTAATGAAAGCACTGTGCAGTGAGGTTTGGAGCGCCAAACACTTCCGAATGTCCATTGGTTTCAAGAACAGTTCAGTATAGGCGGTGTATGTATAGGTCAAGAATTTCAGCCGACGACTTGGCCTTTTTGCGGAAAGAAACCACCCAAGTCACCCAAGATGCAACTTCAGAAAGGCTGACGGCCAGCAGTGCACAGACGGATGTGGTGCTTGAACATTCATGTTCTTGTGGTCCGTGCTGCAAATGCTTGGCACGTCAGTCAGCCTATGCCTTCAAACTGGGCCTCCATGCTGTCCGGTGGGTGTGGCATATTTCTCTGGGCGGCTGAGCAGCTTGGTGGTATTCCCATCAGCCTCAGGATGCAGGGGCCAACATGGTGTCTACCCAAATCGGTGGAGACATGGATTTTAACTCATTTTCGAACACAAGTCTGGGGCACACTATGACATTGGTTTTCAGTTGGCTCAGTTCCCACGTCGAGAAGGAAGGTGAAGTAACGGAAAGGCGCATGAGTCCGCAGAAAAGTATTGTTTAGCCAAAGTTTCACAGCAAGTGCAAAGTGAAGCGGCTGCACAGCGGCGGGAAAACCTGTTTGGGGGTAGGTAGCATGAAGGACCATGGAAACAAAAAGAGCAAATTGGACAGCGTGTTCAACAGTTCCAAATGTAGCAGGTACACACGGGTGATCAATCCGTGCTTCCCACTCCAAGGCATAGCTTCGTTGCACTGAGTTTGCCAAGGAGTGCTCAGTGCCCCTGCTGATTCAAAACTAAAAGCGAGGTGGAACCCTTAGGCACAGGGGTTGACACACACACGGTGCCGCTTTGCGGCGCTCGTGCGAAGGACCTGAATAGTTACCTAAAAAGCCTTAGAAGCAAAAGAAAGAAACACAGAAAGAGCAGCGCAAAGAGGGCAAGAGAGAAAGGTAGGAGAGAAAAAAGTGAATACTTAGCCCTTGACTGGGGTAGGGAAATGAGCCTCAAGAGCAACCTAAAAAGCCTGAGAGAAAGCCCAAGAAACGACCAAAAGCGCAAGAAAGAAAGCGGGCGGGCAGGAAGGTGTATGTACATGCGTGTGTCCGTGTGTGTGTGTATGAATACTTAGCACTCTAGAATTACTGATTACTTAGCGGAAGTGAATTAAATGCAATAGTTAGGGAGCGGGACTTTAGTCTTAGACCGCCCGGGTAGAGAAGACTAGAAAAGGGACAACAGAGGGAAAGGCACCGACACACAAGTGTGCCGAGTACCATTTCCCTCTGTTACCCTAATTAGTGGGTGGGAGGAGTTGGGGTGTTTGGGGTAGAAACCGCGTCGGGGGTTCATCCTCCGTACAAGCCCGGCGGCTGTTTAACTCAAATGGTTTTATCCGTACAAGCCCGGCGGCTCTTGAAGCAGTTGATCCAGTGGTGAAAAGGAGTCAGCTAAGAAAATCCAAGGAATGAAGGATCCGAAAATCTGTTACACGATTTCCAGCATGAATTCAGCGCCCCAGTGACAGGGATCACACCCAGCACCCAAGTGGGACGGCTGAGCGGTTCACACTCTGACATTGGTTTTCAGTTAGCTCAGTTCCCACGTCGAGAAGGAAGGTGAAGTAACGGAAAGGCGCACGAGTCCGCAGAAAAGTATTGTTTAACCAAAGTTTCACAGCAAGTGCAAAGTGAAGCGGCTGCACAGCGGCGGGAAAACCCGTTTGGGGGTAGGTAGCATGAAGGACCATGGAAACAAAAAGAGCAAATTGGACAGCGTGTTCAACAGTTCCAAATGTAGCAGGTACACACGGGTGATCAATCCGTGCTTCCCACTCCAAGGCATAGCTTCGTTGCACTGAGTTTGCCAAGGAGTGCTCAGTGCCCCTGCTGATTCAAAACTAAAAGCGAGGTGGAACCCTCAGGCACAGGGGTTCACACACACACGTACACGTTTTGATCAAGTTGGTTGCTTCAAAGGGCAATTGCTTCGGGCAAAAAAAGCGCATTGCAAGTATCACTTGGTGCTCCTTAATGATAAGAAATGGTGCACCCGTGGTCCGTATCCAAACATCTATATATAAACGTTTTGACAACCAAAGGAATCAACAAGAACAAAGATTCAGATCCGCAGCGTTCGGTGTTCGGATGTCACGCCTAAATTTGGGCGGTCAGATTCACAAACCCAGTTCCGCAGTTCCTCCTAGTTCCTTGATCTGAAGAACTCTGAAAGCTGTGCTCGTGGCGGGGTGCAGAACTTTGTAGCACCTCAGTTTCAAGAGACAAACGCCTGATTCATGGGGAAACACGGAAACTTGCACAGGCATTTCTTTGTTTCAGACTTTGTCACAGGCCCAGTTTCTCTTCCATTGATAGATCTATCGTTTTCATCGTTCGACAAACACATCCGCAAGCGTACTTGATTGATTGGACATCTACAAAACCAAACGTCACCCTGATCTTGATCTCGTCTACTTGCCCCCCGACACACTGCTGCTCGGCTCATCATCCTCGACCTGGATCCAGGGCACAGCCATGCATCAATGGCACATTGGGTGGGTCAAAGGGTGTAGGTATATAGGTCACGAAGAATTCTGGGGTGAAATTCTTGGAAAGACCCGACACACCTGTTCCATATGCACTCCTAACATTTCCTAACAGACATTGAGATGGAACAAACCTGTAGCGACAATTGTCTTCCAGGGGTAAAATTCCAACTTCCATCTCTTCCACACTTATTTTTAGGCAGGGTAAGTCCAAGCAGTGGGTCCTAGACAAACAAATTCCCCAAACATGTGGAAATTGGGCAGGGCCTACCGGGTGAGAGATCGAAACAACAAAAACTGATAAGGATAAACCATAACATGGTTTCAGATCAAAAAGAAATTGATAGGGCAATAGGGACCACGGATCAACCACATTCAACAACATTCCTGAACTGTTGATATTTATAGCGCTCTGTTGCACCCAAACAAGCAAGGTGTAAGGTGGGCGGTTTGTTGCACATTTCTGCCTGACAAGCTCCCACTTGATGCACATAAAGGTGCATAAGGCTGGAATGGCATCCATCATGATGTTGGAATAACTCCTTTTTACTGCCCTAAATTTACCCTGAAGTGGCCCCAACCAGCGTGTGTAAGGTTTGCAAAATATTTTCCCTCAGGTGGACTGCGAAGAGAGCGGGTTGGAATGGGTTGTTCCTGCTCTAAGTTTTACCACTGGTTGGCTCACAAGTGGATGTGTAAAGCTGGAATAGCTCACGGTCGCTTCACGTTTGATCCGCACGTGGCCCACAACTGGGTGTGTAAGGTCTCTTGAGTCCATCGTAAATTTTACCCTGAATGGGGCCACGGTCTGCAAATTCCACCTTTGCAAACATCCGGAAACCATAGGACACAAAAAACCAAAGAACACCTCAAATCCGCTGGCCGCAGTAGCATGAGCAGATTTTGTGGTACAAAATAGCACTCGGAACCCGCGACATTCTGCGTGGACAAGAGTGAGAACAAAGTGACGCGAACGGGGGACCTCAGCAGTAAGAGGATGAGATATCCCACAGAAGTCTAGAAATAGCTCCTAAAACCAATAACAATTGGCATGATGTAGTGTGTGATGGTGTGATATGTTTTGATGTGTGTGATGTTGATATTGTGATGCCTGAAGACAGCGATGAACATGACAATGATAACGATGATGGTGTCTGAATCATGACGATCTCCAAATCAAAACCTCACATACGCCGTGCAAACATACCAGGCCACTGAGGCCAGCCCTAACACCAGCGCTGTTTGGGCCAGCGACATGGGCGGCCCACAAATAAGTGGGTTGTAAAGTTTGTGCCAAGTTTGCCATTGTTGGACCAGTTCCTTCCGATTCTAACTTTTGCATACTTTTGCCGGTGGTCCACCAAAGTTTGGGTGTCTGAGGTCTCTCGTGCATTTGACCCTCGAGGTCAGCCGCAAAGAAGGAGTGCAAGGTTGGAATGGTTTGTTCTTGCTCTAAACTTTACCCTCGTTTGGTTGTGCCACACAAGGGTGAAGGTCTTTCCTCACTCTGTCCTGAAGTGGCAAAACAGGGCGTGTTCCTCACATCTGTCCCTTGTCGCATGGGACCTGCAAGCCCGTCACTGTTTACCTATGCTTGCTCCAAGGGACCAGGGACCAAACCAAGAACCCAAACAATTTTCTGTTTGCTGCTTATCTAATGATTTGTCATTGCTTTTGATGCCTGTCTTTCTCCAGAGAGCAAGAGCTATTGGGTGTAGGAAGAGGTGCACCAGGTGCCTGTGTGCGCTTTGGAGCCTGGGTGCAGTGCTGGCGCCGCCGCCAGATGTGTGGCCGTGTCCGCTTTAGAGCTGCGCTGCTGTCCATGCCTGTGTGCACATTTGGAGACATGTGTATGGCCGTGTGCGCTTTGGAAGCTTAGTACTGGTCGCGCTGCGAGCCGCTGCCACAGCTTATGCCTGGATGCTGGTGCCGCTGCTGGGTGCCGGGCGCCGTCTTTTGCTATCTGGGGTCTATGTTGGATGCCTATCCCGGGCCTACCAGGGCCTGCTGCTCACCATTCCAACCCTCGGCACTGTTCACCCCTTTTGGCCCCTTGCGTTCCGATCCTCGATGCTCCGCGCCTCAAAGAGGTGGTCCTTGAAGTCGGCGTCACCGCCCTCCTGCGACGAAGGATGGAGGTTGGGATAGGTTTATATGTTTTTTGGTCATGGTCATCCCCCCCAACGTATGACTGCTGTGTCTTTTTTTGAAAACGAGTTCCCGGAATGAGGGTGGCTGGATTGAAAAGGCTTCTCGAGGGGTAAGCTCCATCCCTCAACTTTCCTACGAAGCACACCAGCTTGACAGTTAGTGAGTGAATTCACCAAAATCAATGTTGAAGAGCGTGAAACTACACTACACACAGTAACCTGTTTGAAAGAAAATGTTGTCACGCACGCTCAGTTCTCATGCCTCTGGAAATTGGGAATTGCGCAATAGTAGCAACCTCTCCCACAGCAGTCGCTCACAAAGCTGCGGCAAGGCTCTGGGACATACCAAGGCGTTGACGCAAACATTTGGTGCGTCTAGGAGTTAGGAAACCCTGTCAAGAACCATGAAAGACCACCTTCCAATGTTTATTTTTTTGAGGTGAATAGTCCCCATTGGTGCGGAGGGGTCTTGGAACGCCTGTTTCCTCCGAAACATCTCGTCCTCATCTTCGTCCTCTTCGGCTGTCGGGACACCAAACGTACGTTCGCAGGCGCAATGTGCAGCAGGCAGCATGTAGGCCTAAGGGAAACAAGGGCCGTCTGGCCGTCTGAAACTAGGTTTTCGGTACACATAACACCAAGAAAAAACATCTGGGACAAATTCCTCCTCAAAGAGGATGGACACACAATTCAAAAGAAACAAATTGCATTCTCCCTAGATCAAATGACTCCAAATTCATCGATTCCTCGTCCTCGGCTCGGCACCAGCGTTTTGCCCGAACCCGTCTCGGACTGGATCGACACGTCGTGACCTGAAGCATCGGGCGGAATCCTGCGGCCCGATGGTTCGTAGACCAAACATGCCTTGAGAAACCAAGCTGGTGTGCGTTGGGTATATCCAAAATACCAACAAAAAAGAGGATGATGAGTGTTAGTAACAAACCTGTTTTCACCCCCCAAAAAAGGGATAAGTGTTAGTGGTAATGGGACATGCCCTAGGTATACGCAGTCACTCATCTGATTTAACCAGCAAGCTTGGGGCCGGATGGGCCAAATTGGGCAGGCTAGGAGCCAAGATCGAAGCGATGCACTTGTTACCACTAGCGATGCCCTTGCTACTAGTAGCGATGCACTTGTTACTACTAGCTTCTTGATGTACAGGGTTCTTTGGGGTACATAGGGACTGAGGGCGTTGACCCAATACCAGTACCATGTGATAGACACACTTTGACCACTCACCTTTTGACTTCCTTTCTTTCTCTTGCGTTCGCCAAAGACTTTGTCTGTCCGCGGCTGCTACCTTTTGACTTCAAAAAAGAAACACATTTTCAGTTTTAAGGACCGAGATTCCGGACTCGACATCTCCAACATTCCCCACCCCTGCAAGCGCGATGCCCAGGCACCTTGAAGTAGCTTGGGGATCACTGAGGCTTGGATGTGCGTGGCCTGGCACTTTGGCGACAGTGGCGATCCGCTTGCGCTTTCTCTGACGTGCGGTGCATCCGTGCCGCGAACATCTGTGATACGTTGTATTATCAGCTACTAGTAGCTTCTTGCTCCTTGTAGCGATGGCCTCCAACCTACTTGCGATGGCCTCCACCTGGTAGCGTCCTTGCTACTAGTAGATGTCTTCATGAAGCAACGATTATATAAAAGGGGATTCTTTCTTATCTCTTATGCCTATAGGATTCTTCATTATACTATATTTATTGGTGCTTAGGATCTTATTATAGTTCTAGAAAATCTCCCACCAATAAAGAAGAATCCTAACGGTAAGACAGAATCCGGGAAATCGAGGGAGATGTCGTAAGTTGTCTTTATGAGATTGTTCACTCTCGATTTCCAATTCATCCCCCTTTAACAACTATATGAAACGACTATTAGTTGTAGAGAGCGGGTAGTCATGGGGGGTGGGGTTGTGAAAATTGTAATTTTGTACGTTTTTTTCCTCTTTTTTGCAGATGATATGACATTGATAGGGTTGTGAAAGTTGTTCTTTTGTAATGTTTTGGTCTTTTTGGGGATGATATCACGTTGATAGGATTCTGAAATTGGTGATTTTTTTGCTCTATGTGCAGTTGGTAAGCATATTACTTCATTCAACTATGTACTACAAGAATGAATAAATCCAAAAGGTTAGGTGTTTACTAAACAGTTCTTGGATGCAGTAATCTAATTCCACGCAGCCCCCATGCAAACCCATATTTCTTGCTTTATTTTGTGAATTGTTTTGCTCTTATTGGCAATTGGGTAAGTACATCAGAATCAGAAGGCAAAGAATTACACACCCTAAATAACCAATTTCTAATTTAATTCTAATTCAGTTCAAATTCAAATTCATAATTAAATTCAGGTTTCAATGTGTTTCATTTTATTTGGGATTCAAAGCGCGCAAAATTTTACTTTGATTTTAAGCGACCTACCTGCTATACAATTCAGATTCAATTCTATTACTGTATTTCATTCTTTTTCAATTTAATTTCAGTTTTTTGTTATTCTCATTTATTGCAATTTAGTTTTTATGAAATTCTTATTTACTTCTAGGGAATTGGTGTTGCTTTGAGCATGAGAGATTTTTATGAAGCTTTTCCAACATGGAAGCATTTGCTTTCTTAAATGAAGTAAGTTCACACCCCCAGCAGCACCCACCCTCTAGAATGAAATCAAAACTCAATTGGAATTCCATTTGCATCGAATTGGAATCAAGTTAGACCTAAATTAGGCATATAGAAACCAAAAATAGATTGCAATGACAATAGTGTAAAATTAGATGTGTAAAACAATTTAATCTGAACTGTATAAAAGCATTAACATTAGAAACCACTTACAAGTAAATTGAAATAGACAAAATTACCATTTAATCCAAAGCAGAAAGAAATAGAAGTAAATTAGAAACAAATTGGGATTAAGTTGGAATTGACTGAACAACATTAATCAAAAACTAGTGCTTAAATGGGCTTCCTTTTTTTTCTGACCCACACCCTTTTTGCTGTCCGTGTTTTTGCCATCGCTTTGCTGGTACTATTTTGTTGCTGCTGTTTATTCAGTTTATTCTTGCGTGTGTCTCATTTCGCTCCAGCACTCTGCTCCGACGCGCCTGCGGCGGCTCTCACCATGGCATCGTGCTCTCGGAGAGCCGCGTCAAAATACTTGGTGTATGCTCTTTGCCGATCGCTCCGCCGAGGCGTAGGTCCGTGCGTGAAGCCAAACACGCACCCTATACCGCGTGTCTCGGAACCGCTTGTGCTGTCGCTTGCCGCGGCCTCCGCTGCGTCGGAGCAAACACATGTCAAACACCAACTACACTCCTACTTACCTCAAAGTTGACGTGTGCATGCGTACGTGTGGGTCACAGATGCATATAAGCTTAGTCTCCCTGCTTTGATCTCCGGCGCCACCTTGGCGACAAGGCTGTGTGAGTTGAGTTTCTTTCTGCAGCAATGGCTATGCACCAATGACTTTTCTTTAGCTTGTGCCCCATGCCACCTTCCTCTGCGTCTTCGGCGCCGCCTGCTATCATCATGCTTTACTACTTTACGAAGGCCTTGATGCTCCTGTGCAGATTATAGGTTCCTCAGAACCAGCTGGCCTTCTTTGAGTGAAACCGTCGCCTTCAACCCGAGGGATTGGGACGGCCACCATTGCGTACCTAGAACATCTTACCTATTACAACAACAACTCATGCTTTCCACAACCCTTCCCCCAGCACTCCAAAGACCAAAGGGTACTAGAAAGAATAGAACCTAACATTACGTAGGAGCAAGACCTGTTCAGAACACGAAAGCCAAGGCCAAGCGACCATAGCAGCCCGCTGTCTGTGTCCTTTGCTAGAAAGAGTTGTTATATTAGAGGAACAGAGATGCATCCGAAACTGTGCACACGACTATTCCGCCTACTTCAACTGTTACTTTCGGCCGTGCCAATGCCGCTTCTGCCCACGGCTCCCACGTTTGCGCTTCGCCTTAGATGCGTGTCACGAGCATTTTCTTCGAAGTCCACTGTCCATTTCTTGCGCCCCACAGTTCCCTGGAGACAGGCGTCAGTGAAAAAAACTAAAATTCTGGAAGAAGAGTCCTTCAAGCATCCTGCAAACAATCTTTATCAAAAGATCCGTTACTTGTTTGCTACGGTTACTACAATAAAATATGCGGATTTTAAAATAGCCGAACAGGTATTTTAGTGTACCTCCGTGAAGGATCTGCTGGGGCCGCCCAGCCATTAAAACATGCGGAAAAGACACGCGGAAAAGCACTTTTCCTAAATCATTTCACAACATGGCCTTCACCGGGCCTTGGCCGGTCCCACATGGTGGCCTTCACCGGTCCTACGTGGAGGCCTTGGCCGGTCCCCGGTCCTATGTGGAGGCCTTGGCCGGTCCCACGTGGAGGCCTTCACCGGTCCTACGTGGAGGCCTTGGCCGGTCCCACATGGAGGCCTTCACCGGTCCTATGTGGAGGCCTTGGTCCCACGTGGAGGCCTTGGCCGGTCCCACATGGAGGCCTTCACCTGTCCTATGTGGAGGCCTCGGCCGGTCCGACGTGGAGGCCTTCACCGGTCCCACGTGGAGGCCTTGGCCGGTCCCACGTGGAGGCCTTCGCCGGTCCCATGTGGAGGCCTTCACCGGTGAGGCGTTGGCTGGTCCTATGTGGAGGCCTTGGCCGGTCCCACGTGGAGGCCTTCACCGGTCCTATGTGGAGGCCTTGGAGGCCTTCACCGATCCTATGTGGAGGCCTTGGCCGGTCTCACATGGAAGCCTTCGCCGGTCCTACGTGGAGGCCTTGGCCGGTCCCACGTGAGGCCTTCGCCGGTGTCCCATGTGGAGGCCTTCACCGGCCCTATGTGGCGGCCTTCACCCGTCCGTGGAGGCCTTGGCCGGTCCTACGTGCGTGGAGGCCTTGGCCGGCCCTACGTGGAGGCTTACCCCATGACGTGAGGCCAGCCAAGGCCCCCACATAAGGTGCGGGAATCCTGCTATGTAGTGTTGATTGTTGTGAATGATGGAGGAACTGCACATTTAAATATGCGGAGCCGCCCGTCGCCCCCAAACATACGGACAATATAGGGATTATACACTACCTCCGGGAGGATCAGGGCCGCCCTCCACATATTTTAATGGCGTAACTGCGTAACCGTACAACCTGAAACACTCACGAACCAAAATGACATTGCACACCTAGCTCCCGGGAAAGGCTTTACTTTTGCTGAAATTAGGCATGTCTGTTTCCTTCCTGCAAGGTCGCCCCTCTCACACAACGTTCAAGTGGCCGCTCTCCGCGGCGTAGGTCAAGGCCGTGTCGCCATCTGGTGTTGCTGCCTCTTTGTCAGCTCCAACCTGGAGCAAAAAATTCACAACCCGCAAGTGGCCTCTCGCAGCTGCAGCCATCAAGCTAGGCGGTTCTCCCATCATCTGGATCTCTTGTGTTCTTGTCAGCTCGAGCCTCGAGCAACAACCGCACCATCTCCAAATGGCCCCGTCCAGCAGCGAAAATAATAGGTGGAAGTGGAGGAAAGTCACTGTCTGCATCGTTCTCCATTGGTAGGTGGAGGAGTCAAAAAAGAGGGTGCGCGGGTCAAAAAAAGGGAGCCCGTACTTAAATTGACATTGGCTTAGAGTAGACTTGAATTGGAGTCGTTTAACCTAGGGCTTGGTTAGTAGAACAGTATTGACTTAGAATTAGATTACAAATAGATTCAATTAGAATTGGGCTAGAATAAAACTGCAAACTCAATTTGAATTCAACTATATAGAATTCAGCTATGCTCAACTTAGAACTAAGTTAGAAGCATGTTGCAAACTCAAAATTGAATTTAGTATTAGACCCAAAGTAGTCAAACATCATTAGAATTATAATAGAGGTGAATTAGAATAAAAAATTGCATTTAGAATTTGACTACAACGAACTTTAAAATACATAGACTTAGCTTAGAATTCATTTAGGCTCAACTTAGAATTGAAGTAGAAGTATGTTACATACTCAAGTTAGATTCAAATTTCAATTAGACTCAAATGTGAATGTAAATTAGAATTGCACTGGTACTAATTAGAAATGAATGAGAAACACTTTTGTGCACTTTTTGGCAGACCAACCACAACAAAAAAGTTCAGACCCATGGAGAGGGACCCAGGAAAGGCTAGACAGGAGACATAGGTCTGAACTTCTATTTTTTGTTTTCGAGCACTTTTTGGCAGACCAGCCCCAAAAAAACAAAAAGTTCAGACCCATGGAGAAGCTGGACAGGAGACATAGGCCTGAACTTTTTGTTTTTTGTTTTTGAGCACTTTTGGCAGACCAGCCAAAACCAAACAACAACAAAAAGTTCAGACCATTTCAGACCCATGGAGAGGCTGGACAGGAGACATAGGTCTGAACCTTTTGTTTTGTTTTTTGAGCACTTTTTGGCAAACCAGCCAAAACCAAAAAAAGCCCAAAAAAAATAGAAAGTTCAGACACATGGAGAGGCTGGACAGGAGACATAGGTCTGAATTGTTTGTTTGTTGTTTGTTTTTTTTAGCACTTTTTGGCAGACCATCCAAAACAAAATAGCTCAGACCCATGGAGAGGCTGGACAGGAGACATAGGTCTGAACTTTTGTTTTTTGTGTTTGAACACTTTTTGGCAGACCAACCAAAACAAAAAAATGTTCAGACCCATGGAGAGGCTGGACAGGAGACATCGGTGTGAACTTTTTTGTGTGGTTTTTGAGCACTTTTTGGCAAACCAGCCAAAACAAAAAACACAAAAACAAAATAAAGTTCAGGCCCATGGAGAGGCTGGACAGGAGACATAGGTCTGAATTGTTTGTTTGTTGTTTTTGAGGACTTTTTGGCAGACCAACCAAAACAAAAACAACCATAAAAACAAAATGTTCAGACCCATGGAGAGGCTGGACAGGAGACATAGGTCTGAAACTTTTTGGCTTTGAACACTTTTTGGCAGACCAGCCAAAACCAAAAAAAACAAAAGTTCAGACCCATGGAGAGGCTGGACAGGAGACATAGGCCTGAAATGGCCTGAACTTTTTGTGTCTTTTTGTTTTTTGTTTTTGAGCACTTGTTGGTCTAAACTTGTTGATTTTTCTTGGTGTGTCCATTGTTTTCAGAAGCTATTTTGCATTTGCTAATGTTTACATATCACTATCCTTACAAAAAAA